ATAAAGACTCCAAATGGTTTATTCTTCAGTCAGCTTTCAGTTAAGGGTGGCGAACCACCAGGTCTTGTTTGCCAGGTCTGAAACAGGCGATGGCCAGATTTGAGACCTCTTTGCTGATAGCTTCCCTCTGAGTTATAAGGCCCTGATTGAAGAAGGGTCCTCCATGGTGCTGGCGGCCTTGCAAGCAGCGTCTGATGCTGCGGACTTGGTGGCTCACTGCTTGGCTTCCACCATCTCCATGAGGCTTGTAGCCTGCCTTCTTGTATCGGGCCTATCTCTGGAGGCACAGAACTCCATTCAAGATCTGCCTTTTGACATGGGGCCCTGTTTGCAGAACAGACGAACACAAAATTGCACAGGCTAAAGGACTCCTATATGACCTTGAAAACTCTAGGGCTCTACATCTCAGGGTCAGTGAGGAAAAGGGTTAAGCCCCAATCCTCTCAACAAAAGAGCCTGTATGCCCATCAGGAGAGAGCACCTTTCTGCCTGAAGCCCTCCAAGCGGAGACAAGGCCTCCATCCCCTGCCTGGCCAATAATTGACCAGCCAGGCAAAACCCCAGGGCAAGTGTTCCTTTTGAGGGTGCGCCCTGGGACTCCCAAGATCTTGCCTGCCTGTTCTCCTTCAGGCTTTGTTCCTTGCTCCCAGCATGGACCGTTGGGTCTTAGCCACTGTCCAGCATGGCTACACTCTCTGGCTGTCTTCCACATCACCCTCATCCCCTATCCCTTTTCAGGGACCCATTTCAAAGTAGTTTCTCAAACAGGAGCTATCCTAGTTGCTCCAGGTGGAAGCAGTGGAGAGGATATCGCCAGAATTCAAGAAGAAAGCTTTTTACTCCCATTGCTTTTTGATCCCCAGAGTGAAAGGGGGCCTACAACCTATATTGGACTTGCAGGGTGTCAACAAATATTTGGTCTGCCTCAAGTTCTGTACAGTCTTGCTGGCCATTATCATTCCCAATCTGAATTCTTGGGGCTGGTATGCCACTCTCAACCTCAAGGATGTGTAATTCCATATCGCCATCTTCGAAGGTCACAAGCGCTTCCTGAGATTCACAGTTGGGAGACCCACTACCAATTCACTGTCCTGTTCTTGGGCCTTCTACTGCACCCAGGATTTTCACCAAATGCATGTTGGCAGTTTTGACATACCTGAGGGGTCAGGGTGTACAGCTATACCCTTACCTGGATGACTGGCTCGTTAAGGGCCCGTGGAGGCAAAAGGTCCATTGCAATATGTGTCTCCTCCTGGTCACATGCCGCTGGCTTAGCCTGTTGATAAACAAGAAAAAGTACCTCTTGGTACCAACTCAGAGGATAGAGTTCATAGGAGTGGCCAGAGCACCGCTCCCTTGAGAGATTCAAGGCCTTGCTGGCTCTCATTCAGCAACTCACAGATGCCCCTATGACCACAGCATGAGTGTCAGCAGATTCTGGAATATTTCATATGGCTGCTTGTATGTATGTCAGGCTCAGAATGAGGCCCCTCCAAGTGTGGCTGGTCTCAGTGTATGTACCAGGAAAGCACTTTCTAGAAAGGGTGGTAAGGGTCCCACCTCAAGTTCTGTCAGCCCTGAACTGATGGATGAGCCTAGACTGAGTCATGTTGAGCATCCTATACCATTCTCAACTGCACTTGAGAGAGCTAGTAGTTGACACTTCAGACTGTGGTTGGGGAGCCCACAGGGGGACCCCTTGCACCCAGGGCATGTGGTTGGCTCAGGAGAAATTGCTCTACAGAAACTTAAAAGCTAAGAGTAATCAGGAACAAGTATGCGATGTTTAAAAGCTAAGAGTAATCAGGAACAAGTGTGCGATGTTTCTCTCTCACTTCACAGGCAGGGTGGCGCACGTCCTCACAGACAACACTGCTACCATGTACTACATAAACAGGCAAGAAGGAGCAGGTTCCCTAGAGCTCTGCAAGAAGGCTATGAGACTCTGGGGGTTTTGCGTCCTGCACAGCATTGTGCTAGAAGCCCATCACCTTTCAGTGGTTCAGAATGCGATCACAGATCGTCTCAGCAAAGAGTTCTTCTTTCACCATGAGTGGGCTCTCCACCCCGAGGTGACTGACTCCCTCTTCCGCAACTGGGGCTGTCCCCTAGTGGACCTATTTGCAACGAGAGAGAACACAAAGTGCAGCCGGTTCTGGTCCCAGTTTGGCCTTGAGTGGAGTTCTTTAATGGATGTCTCCTCTACGCCTTCTGTCCATTTCCCCCTCTCTTTATAGTCACCTATGTTGAATGGACACAAGCAAGCACTCGACGAAGAAAAGACAGTTATCTGTTCTGTAACTGGTATTTAAGAAGTATTCCTCATGTCCATTCAATCTCCCACCCTCCTCTATCTCTTCTGTCATAGTTCCGGCAAGAAGGAACTTAGAAGGAAGGGGTCTGGGATGCCCTATAGAGTGTGCCCTATATGGCTACTTTGGGGAGTGCTGAGGTCCCTGGCCCCTACAGTTACTGTTTAGGGAAAAACTTGTGGCAGTGCTGCATGTCACAGGCACGCACACCTATGTTGAATAGACATGATCAATACATCTCGAAGAACACCAGTTACAGAACAGGTAACTATTTTTTTTTCAATCCTCCCACAGTGAATAGAAGCGTTCTTTCCCTCTTCTCAGGGTATGTTAGGATGACATAGGTGGGAACATGATCTTATGGCTCCTTTGTAAACACCATTGTTTATGCATTTAAAAATAGCAGTCGACGAAGCATTACAATAAATATTGTGAAGAATTCCTCATTGGTGTTAGGCTGGACTAGATAACGTAATTACCATAGTTGCTTTTCAGCTCAGATAATTCTTGGAAGAGCTATGTTCAGGAAGGAAAGGAATTCCTCGACAATTACCTTGGTTATTAAGCTCCAGTTCCCCTTTGCACTCTTGTGGTATGCTGTAATTACCTCAATGCCTAATTTAGTAGTGTTCAAAGACAAAAAAATCTCAACAATTACCTTGGTTATTAAGCTCCAGTTTTTACCTCAATGCCTAATTTAGTAGTGCTCAAAGACAAAAAAATCTCAGAGAAAATTAGGGCCTTGATTCAAGAAGAAGATTTCTGATTATTATAGTTAATATGATTAGATTAAAGTACAGTGCTTAGCCACAAAATGCTGTGTTACATGTGAACAGGAGAGATGATAACCACAGTAAGTAATGCCGCATAAACGAGGGCTGACTTTATACTAAATCTGCTTAATACTTAAAACATGCATTACATCTGCTGTTAGATATATAAATAAAATAATTATTTTAAGTAATATGAAAATGTAATTACGATGCAGTGGGACTTTAGCACATGAGAAATTTGCAATGTCAAGAATATTGGTGCTGTCAGTGGAAGCAAGGTGTTTAAAGATAAATTGCAGAAGATGCATAATTCGCAAACATCCTATAAAAATTACATTTTGCATTATTGCTGTTTAAAGGACTCAAAACTTCTACTAGCTGTAGTTTAGTATTTTGTTTTCCAGATTATGGGTTGGCAGCCCATCAAGGTAATCCATTGGTGGGCTGCAACACATTTTGTTTACCTTGAATGAATAAAGTTCTATATTTGAGTAACTAGAAAAAATGGTATCATGGGATTCCATATTCATTGGACTTTCTAAGAAGGAATAGACTTCTGAATATGTTTTCTTAGTTATGTTGGGTCTGTAGAGCTAACAGGAATGCAAAATCTGCCAGGGAGTGCTCACATTTACAAATGTTGTGGCAGTACAGTTGATGATGCCTTTTTAATGATAATGGTAGATTTGGTGATAAATGTCTTCGGGTTTTTTTTTGTACATTTAAAAAAAATCTAAAATAATGAGGCATATTAGAGCAGCCTAAAGTACAAAATAATTTGCTGCTCTTGGTAGGGATGTGAAAGTATAGCCATCTACATGATTAACCAATGGGTCTGGGCTCATCAGTTAACCTACATAGTTACATATTGGCTTCCAGTACAAAACATTCGAAATTGGATCCTAACCTGAGGGAAATAATCTTATTATGTCACTTCGATTATCAGTTTGCCAGTCTGAAGTATACAGTACTATATTTAAAGATGCTAGAGAATAAAATAGATTAGAAGTGGAATCCTATCCCATTGATTATTAACTTCAAAACTTCACCTATGTCATTTTAGTTGTCAGTCCCTGTTCAGTGTCTAAAATTCTGTCTCAAGTTTCTGAGCTGAAAACTGGAAGCTCATATTCTTCTACCAGCATAAATTTACAAAAGTGATTTTCTTTTGATAGTTATCAATGTAATATAATTTGTGGGGAAATAACCATCATAACATATTAGCCATTACATCATGAGCAAAATGTATGTATAAAAGTGTACATATGTGTGATTATCATCAGTGGAATATAATTACATTATTTACAACATACTGAAATCTGTTTTATATTCAAATATATAAGCTGTGTAAAACATGGAAAGAATTGGCACAGAACTCTCAGGAGTTAGTAACCAAAATGACTGCAGATATACCCAGTATTAATTTAAACCTGTTGTTTAAGGGAGGTCTGACCCTGTAATTCAAATTTGCAAAACCCATATCCTATATTTTGAAACACCAGACCTGAACTTGACCTTATTGAGTGTGGATGCAGGTGTCTGCCTTAAACATGTGTAAGTGTGGGAAGAGTGGAAAATCAGAATATGCAGATATCTGACACAGATCCATTTGCAGCTTGTGAGAATTGCTTTATTTGGTTAATGCCTCAAAGTACCACATGCAGAATTTCAAATCTGTGAGCATTCATATAGCTTGCCAGTATGTTTCCATCAATGCAGGTAGCGTAGATCTGCAACATGGAATGGGATGGTGCGGGAGAACCCTAGTTTGGGTGACTCCAAGGGGAAAAAAGATTAAATTTCTCACCAGTGAAGGGTGTAAAGACAAGAGTCTCCTACGAGAAACTGGATGGTTTAGTTGTGCTCCTTGGAAATCCACGCAATCCTGACTTTGTATGTTAAGACTGTTCATAAGATGTTGAAGAATGGCCAGTATGCCCAACCTTCCCTTTACTGTAAACTTCAGTATATCAACAGAATTGTGGGATTAATTGAGCAAAATAAACACCTTCATAACCTTCAAAATGTAAATGGCTGTTATCCACAATATTATGAGATTAGAATTTAATGAGAAAAAGAGTGTTCTATTAATCAAAAAATCAGGTATTAGATTAAAAAGTGCAACATTATTTGTAACTCTGCTTGTGTTTAGCTTGCTGCTTAATGAGACTGATAATTTAACTCATTAACAAAACTGTTATCAGTATGTCTTTATGCCACTGTGTGTTCATTCTAGGCATTTGGCTTTATTAACTCATTGCAGTGATAATTCTGAGGTTATAGCTAATATTAGTTGTTGTGTATTGTTGCATAAACTCACAGGACGATATCAGCATTTCTTCTAGCCAATCTGCTGACTTGTTGTACTGGACCACCGCTAAAACCATGAAAGTTCTGACTAATACAACTACAACAACAAAAGCAATGCTGCATGCAGTCAGTGATGGACAGTGGTGGAAGAGGTCATTAACTTATCTTCGTCCATTACATGTAAGAAGTCACTAAAAATCTCTGCTATGCTGTATGGTCTTGCTAATGGATAAACATAGAGTTGTCAACTTCCTAATTGTGCAAAACTGAACACCGTTGCCCTGCCCCGTTCCCTGATGTCCTGCCAACTGACCTGTCTCTTTTCTCAGCCCTCCCCCACACTCATTCCATCTCTTCTCCCTCCATTGTTCTCCCTCTCCTACCCTCACTTTCATTAGGCTGGGGCAAGAGCTTAGGCTCCAGCTGGACATGCAGCCTCTGGGTTGCAAGCAAATGAGGGGTTTAGGGTTCAAGGCAGGCCTTTGGGCTCTGGGCTGGGGCAGGTAGTTGGAGTGTGTGTGGAGGGGGCTGAGGTGCTGGAGAGGACACAGCTGGGCTAAAGCAGGTTCCCTGCCTAGCCTCGCTCTGTGCTGCTCCCAGAAGCAGCCAACATGACTGGCCCCTAGGCCAAGTTTCAGCCAAGCGGCTCTGTACAGTGAGCGCTTCCTGGGCCCACACATGCTGCCTCTGCAATTTCTATTGGCTGCAGTTCCTGGGCAATCAGAACTGCACAGGTAGTGCTGGGGGGAGGGGGGTCAGTACACAGTCACTGGCCATCTCTCCACCTAGAAAAGTCTGCAGCTCTGCTCCTTGAACCACTAGAACCACGGGCAGTCATGCTAACATTAAAGACCCATGGATGATTTACAATGTTTTCTTATATTTTACCACTTTATTTTTGCAAAATGCATACTGTTGTTGCTCTTATTTTATTAGCGTTAGTTGTGTCATTAAAGGAGAGCCAAGCACAAGCCAATGCTTGTAAAATTTCAGGGAGTTTGTTGTGGGAGCTATAAGCAATTGAAGCACCATTAATACATAGTGTCTCACTTTCTATTAAAATATAAACAGTCTCTTTACCTTCCTATTCTTTTTCAGTTCCCATTCACACTTTTCTTTCCATGTCGGTTGAGCCCCATTGACTTCAGCGGGTTCTGCATGGGTTCCATGCACAGAGATGATTGCAGGAACTCCTCCCATCTGAATATCAGACTGTTTATTAGACCTTAAAGCAGAGCTACTCAACTTTGGAAGCCCTGGGGGCCACAATGATACTCACAGCACATGCCAAGGTCCGCAACTTAAGTGTGGCTGCATGTACATACAAATATGTATGCAAATAGCTTTTCACACTGACAGGCATGAATACAAAGATTAAGGCAAGACTACACAACATGCAGGCCCCATTTAAGTCAGTTGTGCTGATATTAATAAAATGCAATATTTACCTGATTTCCATCCATATGACAGCACTTTTAATAAGCAATGACAGTCCAGGAATTTTAACTACAAAAACGCATGTCAACAGAAGACCATTATATTGACTACTTTTTTGTTTTGGCTCCCACCTGCAAGCTGCGTGTTGAACCCTACGTAAACCCAAACCGCACCATGGGCCACAAACAAACGGGTTACGGGCTATAAGCAGCCTGTGTTTTGAGCAGCCCTGCCTTAAAACAAGATTTCATTACTACTAGGTATCACACTACCTGGAATGGGTCAAAACCAGGAGTGCGTACCCCAGACTGTCAGAAAACAGGCAGATACCCCAAACTGGGGGTGAAATTGAATTAAGAACACATCAAGCCAGTTGCAAATGTGAACTCATAGATTACTATGCTTGTTTTACCATGGTGTCACAAACAGTTCCCTTGGACTCTTTAGTCTATCTTGCCACCTAGGCAAAATGGACTTCGTGATAAAAGATTTTTATACCAAAAATCACATCACATTTATGTTGCTTCCTGTCCGAGACCAGTCACTTACTTTAGATTTTACACCAAAGATCATGCTGGCAGATAATTCTATCCTAACGTAACTAAAGGTTGATTAGAAACAGAAATCAGAGTATTGAGAGATTTAAGCAGGTAAAATATATGTGCAGGTGAGTCAGATTGCAGTTCCAAATGGTGACAATGATATGATAAGCTGCCAGTTTCCCAAGTTTTTTCAGGATAACCAGCTAGCCTCTGAGGGATCTCTGTGTAGCACCTGGTGAGTCCAGGCAGTCCAGAGATAAATAATCTTTCCTTGAATCCATACTTCTAGCTTCGTCCCACAGAAAATAAACTTCAGAGGGGTAGCTGAGTTAATCTGTAACAGGAAAAAACTTAAACAACAAATAGTCTAGTAGCACCTTAAAGACTAACAAAACATGTAGATGGTATCATGAGCTTTCATGGGCACAACCTACTTCTTCAGATGATGGGAACAAACTGACCGTGGTCTTTTGTTTTGATGATTGAATGTCATTTCTCGCTCTCCATCACACATAATGACGACCTGCTTTGAAAGTAGCACTTTCCTCTTAAAATTCTTCCCTGGCATTCCAGGAGGCTTCTTTCTCCTTTGATGGATTATTTAGTTACACAATGTAAATATCATGTAATAAGCAAACAAGGTGATATACAGATAAATAAAAAACAATGCATGTAACATCCCATTACTCTCCATTAAGTTTTAACTCCAGATAAACTCTTAAACATTTCAAGCTCTTTAATCTCTACTAATATACAAGTGAATTGGCCTAGGGCTGACACCTGGTTGGCTTAACTCTTCTTATTCCTTTCAGGGCCAAGAATTTGGAGATGTATTAAAAAGCAGTTCCGAAGCAAATGCTGCATTGGAAAAGCAGGGCTGTCATCCCTTTTATGAGTCTCTAATTGTTAATCCATATGTTGCAGAAGTAAGTTTTTAAAATTCTTTAAGAGTTAAAATTTGTTCACTAGGAGAATTTAGAAAAGATTGTGGCACTTGCTTGAGGAGTTCAGAACTGTGGATGACCTTGTAACCCCCCTGCCACAGAGAGAGAGAAAGAGAGAGAGATTTAATGGCACTAAACTTGGTGACAGCTCCTGAACAGACTTAGCAACACCAAGCAAACTTTTCAGGATTCTGCCAGCCTTTACCTTGTAGCAACCCAGCTTTACCCTCATGCAACCCAACTCTCCTGGAAGAGTGTTCCCTTGGAATATCCAACCTCCATCACTGGACGCTTACTGTGACTACCAAGTCCACTATCTCCAAAGAGCTCAACTAAGAATTCATATCATGCTTATCAAAAGGGCTCGCTGAACTACGGCGAGCCCCACTCGCCAGCCGTGCTGTCTGGCGATCTGTGAATATGCAGATCATTCTGTGCATGCGCAAATCGCCGGAACCCGGCTCTTCCGGGTTGCAATCTACTCGCCACAGGCGAGTAGATTGCATTATTTGTCGAGCCCTGCTTATCAATATTAATAGTACTCAGATGTACTTATGGTAAAACAAAAAGAAGTTTATTAGAGAAGACGGAGTTTTAACTCTTATAGAGTGAAGGCAGAATAAGAATTGGCTGCAAATAAAACAAAAGCATAACATCTTATAAGAACCAACACATAAGTAGCATGCTACCGTCCTTTGCCTAAAGCAGTTTTCTTACCCACTGACTTTTCGCAGTTTATTGATTTAAATCAGGAACCAGATTTTTCATAAATCAACTCTCCTCTGACACTATTGTTCTTTAGTGAAATGGATCTCTAAGGGTTCCCTTTCCTCCTTATAATCCAGAAAACCTTTGAAATTTATCCCTTTGAAATGGACAACATTCTTCTTTCCTGCTATTCATTCTTTGTTGATGCTATATTGTTTCTCTCATTTCCATGTAGACTTAACATGCTTGCTTTGTGTCAAGTAACACAGACCCGGGCACATGAGTGAGTCCGGCCCCGGGGATTCCATTTTGCCCCTCCCCCCCCCAAACACCTCTCTCGAGTAGTTGCGAACTGCCTGGCTGGTAGACACACTCACACAGCCTGAGCACATCTATCAGCCAGGCAGTTTGCAGCTAAGGACTGATACACCTAATAATAATAAAACTTACCTAATTAGAAAATACTGGACATTTTATATATCTGGTATTTTCTCAATTTGTTTCCCACACAGAAGCCTCAAATACCGGACTATCTGGTACAGAACTGGACACCGTGCAACCCTACCCCTCCTTGCATCCTCCCTCCTAGCCAGATACACTACCCCCGATCTGCTCCTGCCTCCTGGAGTGCCCATGGCGCGCCGGGTTCCCCAAGCCCTGGCCCAGGCTTGGCGGAGGTTACAGCCGGGTGGAACACTGAAAATGTATTCATTTTTAATTCTTTTTTATATGAGTTTATATTTTTGGGATGTAAAAAAAAGTACTGAAAAAAAAATGGGTTCCAAGTAAAGTAAACAGTTTCGGAAACCCTGGTCTAGCCAGCTTTCTATCCATCTTACAGTCCATTTATCCAATCCATATTTCCTTAACTTGCTGGCAAGAATATTGTGAGTGACTGTATCAAAAGCTTTGCTAACGCTGGCACTGGAGGCTTTGGGTGGACCAGAAACAACTTAGTTGAATATTCATCAGTTGCTTAATGATTATGCAATGACTGTTACCGGTCCTTCAAAAGCTCGTGAATGGATTTACTGGTCCCTGTGTCAAAAAGTTTGGGAACCCCTGATTTACACAGTTTACATTTCACAATGCTTATGATGACCGAAGGTTTCATTTAACATAGCATCATAAAGCAAGTTAACAGGAGAATGATTTTAGATGTTATACAGCAATAGAAAAACTATGTAGATTAAAAAAAGTAATGACATCAAATTATATAATTGTATCTTATGTGATATATTAAACATGAGTTTTTTTTAAAAAAAAAATTAAACAATATAACACTGATTTTTTTTTTTAAAAGTCTGAAGTAGCGTATGCTGCATACCAACACAATTCTTCAGAAAGCTTTGCAGAAGTATTGCTGAGGACAGGAAAATTAGCAGAAACTAAAAGTGAAGGAGAGGATCTATTTCCAGCTACAGAAGGTAAGTTTGTGTGTGTCAAGGGTTTTATTTATAATATGTGTGTGTGTGTATTCTATGTGTTCATATATGCAGTATAGTATCCAAAAGTGATATTTTTGTGTGTTCTACAAGTTTCATCATTATTTAATTTCTAACAATGTAAAATTTATCTGAGAGGCCGATCACTGGAGGGTGCAGAAAAATGGGTTGGATTTGTTAGGACCAGTTTGTGAAGAAAGTTATAAATTCACTTCTAATCAGAAAGTGTCACTTTTAGAAGGCTCATGGTGTTTGGCCATTGTGACAGAAATAGCTGTGGACTTCTGTGTCCACAAACACCATTTGAGAAGTAGTGGAGTGCAATAAATGTCCATCAGATTGTCTGCAGATAGGTATGTTAATCTGTTGCAGTTAGAGTTCATATCTTTTGCAACTTTGCTACAGTGACCTTTGAATTACAGTTTTTCTTTCACTATTTTATTTAGTGCTTAGTTTGTTTTTAAAATTCCTGGATTCCTAAAACTTCTCTTCATCAAAATTAAAAATATATATAGGGACTATACTCAGAATGATTCAAACAGACTTAAAACTGCCTTCACTAAGTAGGGACACTTCAACAAGGAAATAGATTGTATCATGGAACAGGCTACTCAAATACCTTGAGAGAACTTATTTCAATATGGCGGGGGAAATGTCCACATACCTCTCTCTACTTGTCATCTACTACTCTACACTGAAACCCGTATGGGTATCCTAAAACAATTACAATCCATACAGTACTACCTCCTGAAAGAGATCTTTCCTGAACCCCCTCTTCTGACTTTCAAACAGCCCTCTGGCCTTGCCATCAGAAGTAAGCTCTCCAAAGACCAGGAGATGCCAAATCGAAGTGGCACTAAAACCCTTTCAGAACGACAGATGAAAAAACATGCAGACACACTTCCATTGCTATGAAACAAAAAACAGGACTATGTAGCACTTCAAAGACTAGCAAGATGGTTTATTAGGTGATGAGCTTTCGTGGGCCAGACCCACTTCCTCAGATCAAATTGTGGAAGAAAATTGGCATGACCATATATACCAATGGGTCATGCCAATTTTCTTCCACAATTTGATCTGAGGAAGTGGGTCTGGCCCACGAAAGCTCATCACGTAATAAACCATCTTGTTAGTCTTTGAAGTGCTACATAGTCCTGTTTTTTGTTTCAGCTAAACTAGACTAACACGGCTACATCTCTATTACTACTCCACTGCTATGATGATCATTATTCCATGACACACATTTCAATATCCCTGAGCCTTACACATGCATATCCTAACATATGGTGTACCTTTTTCAGTGCATCGAATGCACCAACACCAATCTGGATGAATCCAATCATTACACTTACAAATGAAATTTCACAGAACAATAGGGTAAAAAAATACCATGTCATCCCAGGTGAACATTTTTCACAAAGTGATCACCTCATTTGTGACTGCTCAATCTTTGTTCTCAAAGGAAATGTGCACAGTGATTTACTTGAGAATTTCACAGGATCTTTTTCGGGGGTTAAGGGAAAATGCCACATTTATTGACAATGTAACATTATCAGGGCTGGATTACCCAGTAGGCAGACTAAGCACGTGCTTAGGGCACCAGCAAAGCAGGGCACCAAAAAACCCCTGCGATTTTACGGTATAGTATTGTTTTTATTTTGAATTACATATCGAGGGGCACCATAGTCTTTTCAGTGCTTAGGGCCTCTAAAGGTCTTAATCCGGCCCTGAACGTTATTCTTTTATATGCATAGTCTCTCTCTCTCTCTCTCTCTCACACACACACAGACACAGCTTAAAGTTATCAGTTTGTTGCTCACATTAACTCACTGGCCAGGCATTTCTGAGTTCAGACCAATGCTCCAATATTGATAACGCAAGACCTGGAGATTCGTGCAAAACACCCCATCTTTCATAGGACTTTTTTCCCATTCAGGTTTATAGATTTTTGCTGTGTCAGCTCTTAATCACTCACCATCAGTTTTGTTTAACACCTGTTTATCTGGAAGTTGGGTTTTTTTGGTCATCTGACACCAGTATGTTAGTGCCTCCTTCCCAGTGTAATTTCAAGCCTGTGTTATCTGTAAAGCTTCAGAGGGGTAGCTGAGTTCGTCTGTAACAGAAAAAAATATAAAAGAAAACCAAATAGTTTGGTAGCACCTCAAAGACTAACAAAATATGTAGATGGTATCATCAGTTTTCGTGGGCACAGACCACTTCTTCAGATGACTGAAGTGTTGGATGTTGGTTCTGGACAACCAAAAAACTTGTTGTTTTTTAAGTTTTATCTGTAAAGGGTTGTCTGCCATATGTATGTCCTGCACTGGTCTGTCTTATATTGGGCTCAGTTGATGGTACCTTGGCGCCCCTGAGTCTTCCAGCTTCTTCTTCCCCTTCTTTGACTATTTTGAATCTAAAACTGCTGAGCCTTCAATTTTTATCTTTCTCCAAACAGTCACATCCCAAACTCATTCACTCCCCCTCCCCAGGGTACTACATAATTGTTTCACATGGGGAAAAAGGATATAGTTGCCCTAGTAAGGTATCTGTCTACTTCCAATACAAAGCTTCTGTTAGTACAAACTTTTAATCATTCATCATATTTCCTTTTTAACACAATCTGTATTCTAATTACTCCTAAGAGCAACAGTGTTGTTATGCTGAATCACAAGGATCTTTCTGATCTCTTTCTGCTTTAACATCAGATACAGACACAAGCAGTGTGCCTGATGCATCTTTACCATGGGCCTAGAAAACTGTTCCTCTCTGCTAACTAGAGAAGGGTGACTGACAGTTACAATTGCTTAACATTTATTCTCACACTACCCATTAATCACATGGCATAAGACATTATGAAGGTCTGTTATCTACAACTTCATTTTCAAAAGAAAAACCTGGGAATTTAAATTCATAATTGTGCTAGACATTTAAAGCTGTGGACTTGAAATGCTGGTTTTAAAGCTTGTTAAAACAATTTGTAGCACATTCTGATGCCAACTCTGGCCCGCATGAAGGGCTGGAGCTACCTTGGGCTACTCCCAAGTATTGGTTAACTGGTAAGCATCACCCTTACCAGGAGATGCTTACTGGTTACGGTTAACCAACAGGGTCTGGAGCAACCCATTGCCAACCCTGGGCAGAGGGCTGTTTCAGCCTGGCCATCGTAGGGAGAGATTGTCCCCTACCCATTTAATTGGTTATCGGTTTAAACATAATGTTTAACTAGTTAACTAATTAAATGGAACTTTACCTCCCTATTCTACAGTATGTGAGGATGCCTTTATGTTTAAGAATCACTTTACAACCTCTGCTTAGATGAGTGGTTACCAACCTTTTTATGCCCCAGGTCACTTTTTGAATAAAAGGGTGACCCAGGATCTATGCTTCCCTTCCCCAAGGGAGGTCCTGTCCCTTCCCTGAGTCCCTACTCTGCTCACTCCATCTACCTCTCTCCATTGCTTACTCTTGCCCACCCTCACTCACTTGAGTTTGGTTTAGGGGGGGCTGCCGGGGGGCTGGACCCGCCCCGCCAAGCCACCGGATCTGGCGCTTTGCCGGAACCCTTAGGCAGAGATCAGTTCACGTTTTAAAAAGCCAGCTGTCTTCCACTCCGGACTGTTGGGGATGGAGACTTCTCATGCTGTTCCTGTCCCCCAGCAAAAACTCTTAGGTCCCATTGGCCAATCTCTCAGTTTCCGGCCAATAGGAATCGAAGTTTTGCTGGGAGTAGGGGCAGTGTAGCAAGCCTTCTCCCTCCCTCCTCGTTCCCCTCCCTCTCATGCCCAGAGTGGAGCAATGTAGAGCAGCCTGCAGCAGACAGTCTGCCTCAGGTTTCTTCTGGTAAACACCTTTTAGCCAGAGCCTGCCTCTGGCTCCCCAGCCCCTCCCTTCCTCAACCCTCTGGTCCCTTCCCACGTACCGAAACCCTCTGCTCCCTCATGCACCCCAATCCCCTGCCTGAGATCACAATCCCCTCCTAGCGTAGGTCACATCCCAAAACCCTGCATCCTAGTCCCCTGCCCTAGGTCACAACTGTCTCCTTCACCCAAACTCCCTCCCAGATCACATTCTCTCCTCCTGCACTCCCTTATTTCACCCAAACTCCCTCCCAGATCACATTCTCCCTCGTGCACTCCAATCCCTTACCCAAGCTCCTTTCTGCACCTAACCTCCATTCCACACCTCACAATTCCTTTATTAATATCTTGGAAGAGAGTGGCTCTCAACCACTTTCCAAAATCTTGAAGTGGTCATCCCATCAAAAATTATTGCCCACCTCTGGTTTAGGGAGTGTGGTCTTTGGGCTCGGGCCAAGGATTTCACAGTGCAGGAATGGATCTGGGCTGAACATAGAGTAGGAGTTGCGGTCCAGGTGGGGGTGAGGAATGCAAGTTCTGGGAGGGAGTTTATGTGCAGGAGAAGGCTCTGGATGGGGCAGTCTTGTGGGTGCAGGAGAGAATGTGAGGTGCTTGCTCTGAGAGGTGGTAATGGCTGGGTCAGGGATTTAGGGGTGCAGGAGGGGATACATGTATTAACTCTGAGGGGACCAGGGGTGAGGCTTGGGGTGCAGGAGAAGGGAGTTGGCTCTGGGAGAGGGGGCTCAGGGTTTGGCTGTGGCTTCCTGCTGTGCAGTACTTACCACAGGCAGCTCCTAGTTGGCGGAGAAGCAAGACTAAGGCAGGAACTCTGCCTTCTATGGCCTTGTGCCATTCTCAGAAAGAGCTAGTGCACCCCTAAGGGGAGGAGGCACGTGGCTTTGCAAGCTGCCCCTTCCTGTCAGCCCTGCTGCCTCAGCTCTCATTCACCAGTTGCATGTTCCCAGCCAGTGGAGCTGTGGAGATGGTGCTGGGAGGCAGGAGCAATGCGCTGAGACCCCTGCCCATCCTTCCCCCACACACACTGATCCACATTGGCTAGGCTGGAGCAGGTAGGAAACCACTTTAGCGACAGCCCCTCTATATCACCAGAGATCACAATTTACT